TTGAGGACCCAAGATGCATCAACTGATGAAGTTTGATGATTCTAAGCCAATAAGAACCTGATATATTTAAATAAAGCCATAAAATATCAAAAAGAGGTCACAGTGGCCTCCTTTTCAGTCGACTAACTCTACGGACCCAAGATGCATCAACTGATGAAGTTTGATGATTCTAAACCAATTAGTACCTGAAATATCTAAAGCCATTAGTTTTCAAAAAGAGGTCACGGTGACCTACTTTTCAGTCGAACTATTCCGAAGACCCAAGATGCATCAACTGACAAAGTTTGATGATTCTCAGCCAATTAGTTCCCAAAATATTTAATTATAGTCATATAAATTGAAAAGTAGATCACAGTGACCTACTTTTCAGTCAGCCTAGAACCCAAGATGCATCAACTGACAAAATTTGATGATTCTAATCCAAATAGTACCCAAAAATATTAAATACAGCCATAAAATTTCAAAAGTAGGTCAGGGTGACCTACTTTTCAGTTGTCGTACTCCAAGGACCCAAGATGCATCAACTGACAAAGTTTGATGATGCTAAGCCAATTAGTTCCTGAAATATTCAATTCAAGCCATGAATTTTTAAAGAAGATCATGGTCACATACTTTTCAGTCGACTTACTCCGAAGACCCAAGAAGCATCAACTGACAAAGTTTGATGATTCTAAGCCAATCAGTACCTGAAATATTTAATTATAGTCATATAAATTGAAAAGTAGGTCAGGGTGACCTACTTTTCAGTTGACGTTTTTTGAGGACCCAAGATGCATCAACTGACAAAGTTTTATGATCATAGGCCTTAAAATGTCCAAATTATGCCTCTAAAACGCTTTGAATCGAATGCCTGCAAAATTCAAAAAAGTAGATCAATGTGACTTACTTTTTCATACATATGTTTTATGGCCGGAAGATGCATCATCTTGCAAGATTTCATGATTCTAAACCTCTCAGTATTCGAATTAATGACCTTAATTGTTTTGAAAAAGATTAGCCATGAAATTAAAAAGTGACCTACTTTTTAGTCGACATACTCCGAGGTCCCAAGATACATCAACTGAAAAAGTTTGATGATCATAGGCATCTAATTTTTCAAACTATGCCTCTAAATCATTTTGAAAAAGAATGGCCGCAAAATTTAAAAAGTAGGTCACCGTGACCTACTTTTCAGTCAACATATGAGGTCCTTAGATATTCCTTACTGAGAGCATTGTGGCAACGAACCCGAAGTGCAATTTGTACTTTGTAATAAACTTACTTACATGAAAAGAGAAAATTAATGAATGAATAAGATATTGTTCAAATACATTTAAAGATGTAAAATTTTTTCTTTTAATCAACACATTTAAGTTTTTTTCTGAGTACAGTCTTTTGTATCAAATATTCGGCCTATTCATAGGGCATTAAAAGCTCATTTTTACAGAGGTTCTTGGGTCTTGGTTTATAAATATGTATGAACCTTATTAATATGTACAAAAAGTAAAGTTAATTTTTTACATATCAATAAGGTACAAACATTTTTATAAACCAACACTCAAGTATGTGTGAATCCCCCCTTCCCAAATCAATTTATCAGTAAAATTAAAATGTGCATATTCGCCGCTTTTATCCTTGACGGAAATGAAAATAGAGCAATTGAAGTACAATATCCAAAACATAGTATAACAGGTTTCACAATAAACGTCAATTAATGAAATTGTTATTTTTCAAGTTTTTACAAAAAAAAGGGGGGGGGTCGGGGGTCGGAGATGTACATCTAGTACTTCATGCGGAATTTTGAACTAAGTATTTCTTTCTGCTATAAGCCTGTAGGCTGTCAGTAGAAACTACAATAGATTTTCTCTTAGTAGTGGTATAAATTCAATTTCCCGTGCTTGCGCGGGATTTTATCTAGTATGTTAAATAATTAGGCCTTATGGGCCAGAATGCTTAATCTGTGATCCTTTATATCACGAAAAGGTGAAATATTTAGATACGCAATAATGAACATAAGATGCTCAGAATAATGTTTTAAGAATATGCCAACTTTAAATTTCTATCTAGGAGTCAAGATATTCACAATTTTGGAAGAGGCGCCTTTAATTGATCATTATAAGTATATACATGTACTTGTTTTATCTGCTAAATACCTAGGAGCAGACAAGATTTTCATAGAAATAATGCACTTTTACTATATAATCAATAGTACCCCCCTCCCACAGAACCCCTCACCTGGGCCTAGAAAAGTCACAATTTTGAAAGAGGCACCCTTGATCATCATAACCATGCACCTAATTTATCTTCTTTATATACAGGAGAAGAGAAGAGGAATTAATGCATTTTCACTATATAATCATTAGAGCCCTGCCCTAACACTAGAACCCCTGACCCAGGGGCCATGAAATTCACAATTTTAGAAGAGGTCCCCCTCCACATAATAACTATGTACTTAGATTATTGGCTTAATACCCAGGAGCAGAGGAGAAGACTTTCAAAGAATTAATGCATTTTCACTTTATAATCACTAGAAGCCTGCCCTAACACCAGAACCCCTGACCCAGGGGCCATGAAATTCATAATTTTGGAAAAAGCAACCTTCCTCATCATAACTATGCATTTAGTTTGTTTGCATAATACCCAGGAGCAGAGGAGAAGATTTTTAAAGAAAGAATGCATTTTCACTGATATCTTCAACAGAGCCCCACCCTAGCCTCAGAACCCCTGACCCAGGGGCCATGAATTTCACAATTTAGGTAGAGGGCTCAATCCTTATTACAATCATGCCAACAGTTTGACAGCTTGATGTCCAGGAGTAAAGAAGAAGATTGCATTAATTTTAGTGGTTTAGGCCCCACCCCTCAGGTCCCAGGGAGGCAGGGACCATGACATTCATTTTCTGTTCCCCTTTACCCATAGATGCTATATGCTAAAATTGGTTGAGTGGTTTCAGAGAAGAAGCTAAAAATGTACATATATTAACGCACATCGCATGACGAAGGACAAAAACAGATAGCAATAGGTCACCTGAGTTTACTCAGGTGACCTAAAAAGGGGCTGACCCCTCAAATAAGGGGCTTAGAGGGGCCAAAAGTCTAAAACACTTTAATGATCAATATTTGGCTGTAAATTACTGAAGCAAAAGTAATCATATTAACAAATCTGCATACCATTTTGATCAAATTACGTAATTTAGGGCCATAAGGACCAAGAATGCTAAATCTGTAATGCTTTATATCTCAAAAAGAGGAAATATTTTGATAACAAATATAGGACAAAAGATGTTCAAAATAATGTTCTTAACAATATGCAACCTTTCAATTTTTGCAAAACGGCCCAGTTAAAGGACTTTAAGAACTGGTCCCTAAATATTTCTATTCTTCCTCCCCCCCCCCCCCCCAAAAAAAAATTTCCGAATACTAGTAGTTGTTGAACACAAAAATAATGAGACCTTTCATTTGAATTGAAGAGAAAGGGATTGACCCTTCAAATGAGGGGCTCATAACTTAAACAGTCAATATTTTGTTAATATTTTGTCAATATTTTACCGAGGCAAAAAAATGTTTATTTTATCAATCTGCAACTAAATATTATAAAATTTTAATATGACAGCTGTATAGGTCACGCACGATGAATGAAGTATTGAATCATTGGTGATCAGTGTTCAGTTCTGCTTGAGCGGGTCCAATTCAATATGACAGATGAACAGATGAAGACACAGTTGAATTGAGTATTAAATAACAGCAATCAAAGGAAAATTTTTAAAATGATGAACAAATGAAGAACTCCAACGATGGTATAAATACGAATCACCCTTTAGACTTTATGAAAAAATGAAAATTCCAGCGTAAAAAATATCAATCACGTTGGGCGCCATTGTTAACAACCTTTTTAAATGTGGTAAAATACAACACAACACGGCTGCTGGGTTCGATGTTTATATATAATATATATTCTACGATTATGGAATTTTAAAACAAAGAAGGAAGGGTGACCTGAAATATAACAACAGGTATTAAATATCTCTCGCCTCACTCACACTTTTACGCGGATCATAATTTAAATTTTATAAATTTGGCGATCTTTCAATTTTTGCAAAATGTTCCCGTTAAGAACTTGAAAGATTGACCCTTAAATATTTCTATTTCATATATCTCAATACCGAAAAGAAACTTCTGAATAGTTTTGAACAAAAAATATACAAAATCATGTTATCTTTCATTCAATATCAAGAAAAGGGGCTGACCCCTCAAATTGGGGGCTCATCAGGACAAAAAGCTTTTAATCTTTAACTCTTAAGCATTCAATATTTTGTTACAAATTACCAGATGAAAATGGTTATCTTAATGATCTGCAACTACATAAAATTTGGATCATGTTACATAATTAGGAGCCATATGGGGCCAAAAGGCTAAATCTTTTGATAAGCAATAATAACCAAAGATGTGCAGAATAATGTTCTCAAAACACTGGAATTAAATTAAAGATATTTTATGACCATTATTTATGAACAAACATCTTGTCCATTGATTCTTAGGTAAAGTAATGGTGCCACAAAATTTTCATTAATCTATTCAGGAAAATTTTTGCCCTTATCTTATCCCCCCCCCCCCCCTTTTCACTCTCATCAAAAGTAGGCAAATTTAAAATGGAGACCACATTATCTCTTTGACACGGATTTGTCTGGGTGAATTTAATTTAGGGAAAAATTGTTTCCGTGTTTAAGCACGGCAAAAATAAATGGGGCCAAAATATCCCTGTATAGAGTTTTTGTGATTTCTCTCTCCCTAGAAGAGGCATGCTCATAATATGAACAAATTCTAATTTCCTTTACCATAGGATGCTTTAATGCAAGGTTGGTAAAAATTGCTCCAGTGTCTTTGGAAAAGGTAAAAATGTAAAGAGTTTACAGTTGGCTTTTGACTGATGACTCGGGGACGCCAGACAAATTTGGATCAGAAAAGTTCACTTGAGCCTTTGGCCTTAGGTGAGCTAAAAATGAAAAAAGATACCTCTGCAGCTTTGAATAAATCATTTAATTTTTCAATCTGTATGGAAAAAAATATCAAAAAATCATGACACTGCTGTGAATGTTACTATACATATTCATACACATGAAAGTTAGAATGTATACACACATAGACACAAGAAAAAAGACAAGGCAATTCCAGAAATTATGTCCCCCACTTAAGGACATAATCTATTTTGATATGTAAGCCAGAAACAATTTATAACAATTTGAAAATTTGTGATCCTGACATTTGGCCCTTTTACCTCAGACTCAATGCTGGCCATGCATTTATTATAGGCAGTACTTAAAGTGAATCTGGAAACCATACTATACCATATATGAATTAGTGAACTTGTCATTTGGACATCAAAATCAATAAGGGTCTTAGATAAATAAGAGTCATCATGTTAATTTTAAATGCTCAAAGAGAAATAAAATTATCATCTGGAAACTATTTTATGCAATTTATGAATTTGTGACCTTGACCTTTAGACTCCAAAATGAACAGGGGTTTTCTTCAAGTCATAGGGAGCTATGACATGAAAGTCATTGCAAAAGCTAAGGTATATTAAAGATATCATCTTGAAACTTAAAGCTGAACATGCTTCGTAAGTAGGGATATGCCATTTTCGATATTATTATCTACGATATCAGCACCGGAGTATACTCTTCGCATTCCTTACACCTGACTGCTTTATTGTCATGGGTATCGGCGTGGGATGGTGACCTGTGTTCGTGCTGGTTACCTTGCATTATCGTTGTTTAGATTTTATTGAAGTAACGTGTATTTATGTTTGTATTCTGCACTGACCTGTGCAACTGCTGTAAGTTTCTTTGGTATCTTACTCTCCTGTATTAGAAGAAGTACACAGTTATTTTGTGTCGCTACCAAGTCCTTTATAGCATATGTCCGTCTACACATTTGACGATTGATTGCACTGAACAGTGACTAAGTGAGCAGCTTTATATAGGGGCCCTCAGATATAGCGAAAGACCAATTGAATATAGCGGACACATTCCTCTTACACATCATGTTCAGCTTTAAGTGTGCCATTTCATAAAATGAATTTGTGACCTTGACCTTTTAAAATAAAAATAAGTAAGGGTCTTTCTTAAGTGAAAAAGAGGCAACATCTTAACTTTCATTTCGAAAGCTAAAAAAAAAAAAAAAAAACCCCAAAAAACCCCCCCCAAAAAAACCAAAACTAAATATACCATCTGGAAACCATTTTATGCAACATGTGAATTTGTGACCTTGACCTTTAAATCAATAGGGTCTTCTTTGACAATTATAAAATGGAATTATATAAATTTCATTGCAAAAGCTAAGTTCGTTCTGAGTTATCATCTGGAAACTAAAGTGTATCATTTCATAATGTAGAGGAATTTGTGTTCTTGACCTTTGACCTGAAATTTAGTTGAGGTCTTAATTAGGTTACAGGAAGTTATGATATAAAGTTTCATTCCAAAATCTTGAGAGATATCATCTGGAAATGAAAATGTTACAGAGAGAGTGAGACTACAGACGGATGGAAGGATCCATTTATATCTTCTGATATTAGCAAAAGGGGGAAAAATATATTTGTAGTTAACACAGAGAGGAAATACATTAATATGTGCAGAATATTCCCTATGGACAAATAATTGACAAATTCATTTTTTCTTGGCTAGAACATCTCCAACAAAGACATTATTTTGATCAAGAACATGCTGCTTCAGGGTTTTCAAATGGCAAATAATGTCCTGGTCAGACATGCCGGAGGTTGACATCTTCTTCACACTACCCATGAATTCTTGGATGATTTTTTCACCTTCCTACAGGTAAGTATGTATGAGTATTACAACAAGAATAGCTATTGGTAATATATGGAGGACATTTAAAATTATATGAGAATATTTTCAAGCAATAAAAATCAATATCTTTCTTTGTAAACATGATCAAGTTTTATTAACAAATAAATACAGTGAAATTCAATTATAGCAAAGTTCTGAGGACCTGTGAATTCACTTTGCTTCATCTGTAAATCTTAATATCCATATCACAGATTTGCTAAAATATATATCACAAGTTTGCAATGTACATTTTCCTTCAAGTATATCCACCAAATATGTTGAAACAAGTATTACATACAATATATATATATATATATATATATATATATATATATATATATATATATATATATATATATATATATATATGTAATCCAAAGTATGAGAAAGAAATCCACACAAATATTCAAATAATAAAAAATAACAGAACACCGATTAAAACTCTACTGGTTTCAATTGTATCATCAGGAGTTTTGATGATACAATTGAAACAGGTAGAGTTTTAATCGGTGTTCTGTTATTTTTTATTTTATATATATATATATATATATATATATATATATATATATATATATATATATATATATATATATATATATACACAGGGTGTTTCAGAAAACATGCAACCATTTACTTTCCTCACTTTATTGATATGCAAACAGAAACATACGAAAGTTTTATATACAATTATGCTAAAAAGGCGTAAGTTTTTACTAATAACAAAAAATTATGAAATAAGTATAATTTGAATTAATAATGACGTCATATTTGATATCACTAAAAAACAGGTATTTTCATTCCTAATGAGGAATTTAATAAGAAGCAATCATCAGAAGTTCCGAAAATGCTTTTTCAATGCATGTCACCAGTTCCTGTAATTAGGACAATGAAAATAAAGTTTACAGAATACATGATTGATTGATTGTATGTTGTTTTACGTCCCATTCGAGAATTTTTCACTCATATAGAGACGTCACCATATACCGGTGAAGGGCTTCAAATTTTGACCTTTACTCGGCACTCAGGGCCATTGAGCAGTGAGGGATCTTTATCGTGCCAACGCCTGCCGTGACACAGGGCCTCGGTTTTTAAGGTCTCATCCGAAGGACCCGCAATTTTCACTTCAAAGTGCCGAGTGCATGGCGAAGGTACAGTTGCTACCTATTTTTTATCGACTTAGGTCTGTCGCGGCCGAGATTCGAACTCACAACCTCCCGATCACGGAGCGAGCGCTCTACCGACTGAGCTACCGTGAACGGTTTTACAGAATACAAAGAACTTACTTAGTAATATAAAGTGGAAGTTGTATAAATCTGTAAAATTTTGAAGTTAATGGAAAAGTTAATACATGATCAAAGAAAAGGAAAAATTGGAAGAAAAAGACAGTGAGAACACATGAAAACATTTAGAATGTTACTAAAGAGGCATTGTTCCAGAGAATCACATGAAACCCTTTAGTAAAATAACTGAGCTTGTGAACAAATGCAACTCAAAATTGAGCAAGTCAAGTGTATATCGGATGCTGAAATATGTTTTCAATCTTAAACCTTGGACTGGTTAGAACAAATGCTCTGAGGACCCTTCAACTCTTTCAAATCCTTTAAATTGGGCCTCCACACTCACCTGACTTAAACCCCTTTGACTTTTATCTTTGGGGATATTTTAAGGTCACAGTTTTTAAAACAGACCCCAAACAATAAATAAACTCAAAATGGTTCGAACAATGAAACCTGATTCATTACCAAGAGATTCTTTGTACTGGTAATGAGAACTTTCTTGCATCAGATAGATTTAGACATTCAGCAAAAGTGACGCCATTTAGAACTTATTTTGTAACTAAGTGAAATTTTACAAGTTTCTGTTTTCTTTTGTAATTAGGTCTTCCGTTTTCAACGGAAGACCTATAGTGATTCTACTGTTTCTTATTATTATTATTATTATTTTTCATTTTTATTTTTTTGACCTTTTCAAATCGCGATATCTCAAAAACTACTCAATCATTTTCAGCCAAATTTTCAGGAATGATGTGTTATCTCATGCCATTTTGAAATATTGAAAAAGTTCGGAAAAAGTTACTTCCGGTCGGGAATTATTACGATTTTTCACTTTTTCCTTTAAAAATCTAGTCCATGAATGTTCTCAGAAACTGTTAAAGGTAGGAGTCTGAAACTTTCAGGTATGATAGAATTTGGTTTGTAGATGTGTGATGGAAACATTTCGTGTGTCGTTGTCACTTCCGGTCGTCACAGGAAGTGATTTAAAAAGGGTAATTTTTTGAACTTTTTTGTTTTTCATAATTTTTTTATGATGTTGATAGGCTAAATAAAGAGTCTTACAAGATTGCTAAATATGTAGTTTGTTTAAAAATTGATTAACCCTTACTCTAAATATTTATCATTTTTCAATCTTAAGCGATGATGTTTGATAGCGTAATGGTTAGCATGTTGAAATTTCACGTGGGCGATCCGGATTCAATCCAAAGAATGTCCGAATTGTTTCTCACTTTTTGGGGCTCAAATATAAGATTTTTCTTTAAGGGGGGGGGGCTATGTCGTTCGACGTCAGAGCAGCGGTGTTTGACAACATATTAATATCAGCGTGTCTTTTTACTCCCTCATAAAGAGTTTGCAGTTGAATTTTGCACTAATTAATGTGCATAGATGCAATTGTGATATAAAACGAGAAAAACATGTTGGTACAAATGTATATGTAGCTAGATACCTATGCAATTGTATCATAAATTGGGGAATTGCCGAATTGTATTTTGAAAGTAGATTTGTTACTTTCTCATGTTGATTGAATAACATATAGCAATTTCAAATGAGAGAAAAATAAACTTCAATGATATTTTTCTTTGATTTTAGTAGAGCAATATTCCTTTATAGATGCAAGTTACTGAACATAATAGGTATCAGATTCCTTGAGTGTCATATGGCGAGACGTGTTGTGTTGCAAAACATTCCAGTCTTTTCATTAATGTGTTACTAATTGGAATAATCCACTTTGGGGGTAAAGAGGAATATAAAATGTGTAAGAAAACTTAGCGCTGCCTTTATGTTACTTGCCCGTATACGGTATGTTATATGTACAGTGTGATAAATATACATTCTTAGGCTAGAAAATCAGGCTATAGCAACATATTTTTTAAAAATTTCATTGAAGCTATCACGTACACTTATTCAATTGAAGACACATTCCAAAGAAAAGGCACCAAGATTTACTCGTGACATTTGGCGCGAAATACTTATCTTGACCCGCCTTTCACAAATGGTCTGATGCAGTAGCGTAGAAGTACAGAAAAAGATTACACGGACAAGTCTGAATTTGGAATTGCATAGAACAGAAAGTTGAATGCATAAAGAATAAAGGAAGTAAACACAATAGTTTTTTTTTTTAGTTTTTATCAGTAACAGATTATTTTCTCTGCTATCAGATATTGTTAAAACTCAAGTAACAAATCCGATGTAAATCTGCTAGTACTTGCACAAATTTAGCTGGCTAGTTTTCATCCTATAATTCCACACTATAAGAAAAAAGATTAACCTGCCTGACACTCGTTACCTCAGGGAATGAGTGCAAGGTAAACATCGGTGATGGCTGGTACATTGCGCTAGTGTAGTGGTATAAATGATAAAGAACAAGGTTCACTTAGAGCCTTTTTTGGCCCTGTGAATTTCAGAAAAACTGAAACTGCTTGGTTTTAGTTGAAAATGTATCAAATATCATTTAGACCTTTGATGACTGCGTATCTATCAAAAATGAGGTAATTTTCTGGCTAGCCAATGCATTATGACGTCATGAAATGCGTCATTTTCCTCATATCGTGAAAAATTCTACAAAACAGCCAATTTTTAAAGGTATTTTTCGATATTTAATATAGAGCGTAACCTCCAATCTTAAATATGCAACTATAAAATGATAGAATTATTTCTGAGGATTACAAAACCTGTTTTATTTTTTAGATCAGAGGGTGCGCTCATATTATTTCTCTTCTGTGAAAGTACTCAAATATACTTATTTCCATTAAAATTCAAGAACATTGCAATTTCATGAGCCCTGTTTTCCAAGACCTTGGCTATAAGGAGAAAATTTTTAATAGGAAATGAAAACACGAAGTCTCTACTTTATCTTGTTGTTTAAAATGGAACATAAAGTGTTAGTCAATAAATTGGTATATCTACAGGGCCATTTTATGCATAAAGTGAACCTAGCTCTTTTCGGGCGGCCGATCTTGGTTTAATCCCGACTATATCTGAATTTTTTGCTTAAATCTACGTTTTCATCTTTATCAATGATGTTGAACTTTGTTTTTCTCTTTGTGAATTCTGTGCTCTTTTTATTATTATTATTATTTTTAATAAATAAAAAATCTTTTTAAAGACCCATGTTAAATTTTTAGGTGTCTTCACAACGAGCAGATATGAATGTAATTTTACGTGCAAAGAGTATCACAGTTATTAATGGCTATTCGGACGGAAAACCTCTCGTTGCTCGCAACAAGTATCTAGTTCATTATCTATTTGCCAGATTAACTTTATTTTCATGAGAATAAATCTTGAAATTGTGACTTTTAATTTGATATGTTGGTGCATGGTATTGGTTGAAGCACCAGTAAAATATAATCAATCAAAATGGTTGCATGTTTTCTGAAACACCCTGTATATATATATATATATATATATATATATGGTGAAGGTTGGAAAGGAAGGGGTTGCCATTCCCTACCTTGAAAAGGTTATATGTGCTTTGTAATGGCCTATTATGAACTTTTAATTTTTAACCTAAATATTTATATTAAACGAGGCCCAAGGGCCTTGAATTGCTCTTCTGATAAACAGTACAACCTATCACTTCTATTTGAATCCTCTGTGTCCTGTATATTCACTAGGGATGTCAACGAGTACCCGGTTAACCGGGTACTCGATCGAACGTCTGAGTATCGAATACTAAAAATGGTACTCGGTTACTCGGATGTATATTTT